GGGGGGGGGTCTACGACGGGAGTGAGTGCACAGCGAGACGGAGGACGAGGACGTACATATCACGGCCTGGGGGTTGCTGGCGCGCGAGGTCCCGAGGCGGAACTTGCGTAGGTGATCTCTGCTCTCCTGGCTGAAGGTGTAGAGTCTGGACTCGGATGCCTGGATGTTGATGTGAGGCTGTGCGACGAGGCTGAAGATGGAGGCATATGGGATACAGGATACGGGATTTATCGTACCATTATGATTAGAGTTTTCGACACAGCGCTGCTGCTGTGTGCTGCCTGCCGTGTTCTAATGGTTCGGGGGATGGGAAAGCTGTTGCTTCGCTCAGCCTCGTCGACGTCGGGATGTCGGAGCGGGGGCTTCTGAACCCCTCGCTTAAGATAGAGTTGTCCGTGGGGCCTCGCTTACCGTATCGCTGTCGTATCGTATCTATCTGTATCTCGTGACGTCACTATCAAAACAACCAGCGCTTGCTGATCCGATTAAAAAAATCAAAAGGAGCCACAATCCGACTTCAACTGGTGGAAGATGTCGACGATACCCCTTGGTGTCTCTTGGAAGCAGTCTGGGTGTAGATATATACGTACCCGTAGACAATCCGAGCAATTAATCTCTCCTGTCGCAATCGAGATCTGCCCGGGACGCATCCCAGCTGATTTCTCTCGAGAGGTCCTCTGAACCAGTGAACGAAGCTAAACCTGCTTCCCGAAGGGCAAGTTCTACGTACAGAGTAAGTAGTCTGTTGTTAGACTTGCCAAGATATAAGTCAGCCTTGGCAAAAGCTTGGGTCTCATCCCTACTTACCTACAAGCAGGCTGCTTTTTCAGTCTCCAGAGCTGCTGGTCCAAGTCCAAGGCCAGACTACCTACGCAAACTTAACGGGCACCTCTGCACACTCGAAAAAAGCGTATCGGGAGCTATGGTCAGTCCGTCGCTATGGGAAGTTGTGGAGTGGTTCCGTTGACGGTGGTCTCGGTGCATGTAGCACCCCCTTAATTAAACGAGAGTTCGCTAAAAGATGGTGTGTTGGTTTGTTGACAGCACGCCCGCTGCAAAGTCAACAACACGGTCAGCAATAAGGATACGGCTCTCGGGCTTGACAGAACGAACGATACTCCTCCGCCACCTGTGGCCCCCATCGAAAGCTCCAAATCCCGACGAAAAAAAAAAAAAAAACACAGCAAGTGTCTGCCGCACCGGCCATCAAGAGCTTTCTCGAGCAACCTTCGCCGAGAGCTAATCTTCTCCCGGAGCACACACGACCGATGACCCTCACTCCAACTCCGACGTTGCCAGTGCCGGCGGGGGTGCGCGCGTCCAGACGGCCGTCTCTCCGCACCGAAGGACCGTGAGACCCGGGTAGGAGCAGTGCCTCGACTCGTCATTCACCTCCACCGCACGGAGAACATCGGCTGCAAGGGCAACGCTCCCTGAATGCGAGCCGCACGGGGAGATGGCTCCTTGTATTCCGCATCTAGCTCACGAGCCTTCTCCCATCGCGATGGTCTGTCGCGCGCCGGACGGCACGCCGGACCACAAGTATATATACATATATATATATATATATGTATTTTTAAGAAGGTATCGATTCCTGATTTATTTTTCCCACTCCATCGACTCGCTATTCTTCTCTCCTCCTCTTTCCCTCTGCTGTGCCCCATGGGCTCTTTATGGGTCACGTAGGTCTTAAGTGTTTCCAATACGATTTCGGTCTTTGGCTTTAACAGAGCTAGGGTTTTTGTTTTTTTTTTTTTTTCTTCCTGTTTGTATTGAATTATGTATCGAGTATACGGAGTATGTAACATACTAAAGCTGTCGTGCTACCCTGATCTATCTATGGATTATCAGAGGGGGAAATGTATAGCGGGAAAAAAAATCGATTGAATCTTTTGGAGCTGTAATACGGAGGTTTATATCTAGCTGGTCTGTCGGTCTGTCGGTCTGTCGGTCTGTTTGCCGAGGGAGGGGGGTTGGGGAGTTGGGGAGTTGGGGATATTGAAAGAAAGAATGTATATATGCTTCTTGTTTGTAGGACAGTGCGGTATAGTCAGTCAAGGTATCGGATGGTTGAAGTTTCATCTTGGCTTGGCTAGGCTGGGTTGGCTTGGGTCACAGTAGTTAGTTAGTTAGTTAGTTAGTGGTTCAGTGACTTAGTTACTTAATTGATGAGTGAGTGAGCTGGATCCCGAGTTGATTTCATTTCCTTTTGTTTTGTTTTAATTTGTTTTACGTCGTATTTTACAGTATTCCGTTGTCATTTAGCTCCGACTACCTGCCTGGCTACCTAACTGTTCGTGTTCGCGCTGAGCAGCTCAACGACCTAGTGCTAATAGTACTAAGCAAAGGCCCTCCAAGATAGTAGTAACGAGCAATTGCTGCGCTGTTAAGTGGTGTACTTGATTTAGATTTTGATCATCTGAGTGACATCCCCCCCTCCCCCTCTTTTTAAAAAAAAATCATAACAAAATTCAAAGGTGAAGTTCAGAGAAACCCAGTCTATGGAAATAAGTAATGATGGTCTAATTGAATCGGTGGTTCTGTTCCACCTAACCAAATCGTGCCTGCTTGTTGATATTCGTCTTCAAGCCTTAGTGTTGGCTCAATAGCTTCTAAACTGATGGACTCTATCTGCTGCCTCGTAGGATCCGCTCCTGTCCTCGCGTATAAAGTCCTCTTTCTTCTCGCAAGTTTCAATTCCCCTCCTTCTCTTCCTTCTCTTAGCCCTCTCAATAACAACAACAACAACAACAACAGCATAACGAAAGAGACAAAGATTAAGACAACGACCAGCCTCCTCCCCAGTCGAAGTCCTCTTCCACGTTGCCTCTCGTACATCGATCTATCTCTCACACATTCAAGTCCTCCTCAATCGTGCGCTATCCCGCCCCCCTTCCCCCTCGTTCTACTTACGAGAGAGACTCCTCTTTCCTTTCCAGTTGAAACTCCTCCTCCTCCCTCTTCTCAAAGATAGCGCTTCGCGCGTCAAGCTTCGAGAATTGCCAATCCCAAGGATCAATTATAACTTCATCAGAGTGGGCGGGCTGATTTCTCTGAGCGGATTAGTCTTCGACAATACAACCTCGCAAATCTTCTCACCTCAAGTGCGAGCAAGCAAGCAGGCAAGCTGTGAGACTTTCAGCGATCAGCTATTTGGCCTTAGTCAGTCAGCTTTTGCTCTCTCTCGTCTTTGCAGCACAATTTCAACGCTTGGCTGCTGGACAGACATACAGACGGAAAGAAAGACAAACAGACAGATAGACAACCCAACTCGTGCATCTGCACTATGCAAAGACCCCTCTTGCTCACTTCACCTTCCACTCACGATTCCATGCACCCTCCCACCTAACTTCTCTTCGCCATTACACACAGGACGTTAACAGCGGACGCAGGATCCACTCACTGGCCCAGCATCATCAGACCCCCGTTTTCTCTAGAGCTTCGTCGAGAGTGTCGTTTCGAATGCTCCGACGGCAAGGCAAGCCCCGTTCATCCCAACCCAACACCAGCTCGGTACCAGAGCCAGCTTGCCGGCACTGTCAACTTGGTATTGCTACTGAGTACTACGCCGTGATGCTGTCAGGCTTGGAAGTTGAGGCAGGACTCAAGTCCGGCTATGGATCCAAGCCAGACATCGAGTCCGGCAAGGCCCCTGAGCCACAGTCCGAGGAGCCAGAGCCCGAGTCGGGAGAACATCTGAGGTATGGGAAGAGCTTCTCGGAACACGCAGCCCACTACTACCACTGACACGCACAGATGGCTACACGCCGGGCTCTACAAAGACGCCAAGGGAGCCACCAAGGACGTCTGGTTCGCATTCCGAAGGAGCCGCAAGACCGAGAGCCACACCATCGCCTACGCCTCGGACGGGCACGGCTCACCCTTCGGCAACCGCAACGGCGGCCGCCGCAAGTCGGATCTCATAACCTGGGACCCGCACCACGCCAAGAAGTGGGAGAAGTTCATCGCGGCCTCGGGCACCTGGACCCTCGCAAACATCCTCCGGGGCCGCAAGCTCCAGAGGGAGACCTTGCTGGCGACCTGGCTGGACCCCAACTCCCCCAACACGTACGCCCACGGACGGGACCACAACCGGACCCTGAACCCGCCCCTGAACGTGGTCCACACGATCGACGACGCCTCCGGCCCGGGATCTGCCACCAGCAGAGCGCAGGCCGACTCTGCTCGGGCGCGGCGCCGAAACCGAGATCTCGCTCCCGAGGAGTGCTACGCCGGGACGAAGATCCCGCTGTCGGCGGTGGATATCCGCGTCGGGGCTTTCTTGGCCGTGGATCCGAGTCCGAGGAAGGTCGTCGCGACGTTCCTCAACGGCCAGCTGGCGACCAACCCGCGCCTGAGACTCCGCAAGGAGGAGCGGAACGATGCTATCGAATCGGCGTTCCTCGAGCTGGGCTGGCGCATCAGCCGGCCCGCGCTGGAGCGTGCCAACGATAAAGTCGCGGCGGGCAAGATCGACAGTATCTTCCACTGTAGAGCGTGGAACAAGCTCCCGCCCCTGCTGGTGGATAAGTACAAGGGAGACTCGCTCGCGGAGATGATGGATGAGATGAGGGAGCAGGCGATGGAGTATGGAGGGATCGAAGAGAGCGATGATGAAGAGAGAGCGCAGCCTTCGTCGGATGCCGATTCGGACTCTGATTCTGACCGAGACGAGTCCGATAACACGGAGGAGAGCAGCCCCTTCGTCTCGCAGAAGTCTGAGCGGTCCACCACCATCACCACCACCACCAGCACAGGCAAGGATCCCTCCACGACGACGGGGAGAAAAGATGCGCCCAACCAAGGGGCCTCGTGGCGCTCACGGAAGCTCTCGGCCGTGGAGAGGATGGTTATACAGAGCCAGGTGGCCCACGGTGACGAGCCCGTAAGTACCAACCCCGAGCATCCCACGAACTCGAGGAGTTACTGACCAACGTGTATATAGGAGGATCCGCCCGCACAGCCGAGTCGAGACACGGGTGACGACTTTGAATATCTTCCCGACGCCTCACCCAGCAAAGGAAAAGGCCCAGCCAAGCGGAAGCGAGACGTCGATCTGATACCGGAGGTAAGCACGCCTTCCATCCATGCCTTCATTCGCTCGCTCGCTCGCTCGCCATGAATGCCCCCTCGTTGCCTTATCTCGAAAGTGGCTAACGTGCATGTGTGTGTGTGTTTTCCACCAGCCTGCAAAGAGCGCCGCGGACAACAACAACAAAAACAACAGCCTCATCGTCGACGGCGAGGGCGCAACCCTCTTTCCTAGTAAACGGCTCAAGACGCCCGAACCCAAGCCCAAGCCCGAGCCAGAGAAGACCCCCTCCATCAAACAACCCGCACCACTGGTCATCATCGACCTCGACCCAGACAGTGATGACGATGACCACGACTCGGACATCGAGATCGACGAAGCGAGGAGCTGCGCTCCCGCCGTCAAGCCCGAGAGCGGCGTCGATCTTGTAAGCGAGAGAAAAAAAAACAAACCAAGTTCTGAAACCGAGTTCAGACCCAGACGAGAGTGAAAAATTGTGGCGCGGCTGACACTTTACGCAGAAGTACCACCTCGCCCTAGAAGGTGACGACGAAGTCTTTGTTCCTTCCTAGTTCGGATTGAGCGTTGCTCTAGCCTTACCTTGCACTTACCCGAGTCCTCTCCTCTTCTGAGTCTCTTCTCTCCTCCCCCCTCCCCGTCCTCTCACCTTTCTCTCCCTCTCCATCTCACTTCCTCCCACCCACACATTCTTTCTTCTTCCCTCTCACCCCTTTCCATCTCTATTTTTCCCACACACATCAGATTTCAGAAACAAACAATCCAGTCTTGCACACTCCAGACTCCCAACTCTCAACTCCACCCAAGATTTTTCGTCCGGAGAAGGAGATAATTGCTGTGTTCCGCACTCCCTCGCAGAAGGCGCTCGCTCACCTCCCTCACGCACCACAGATGATCCAGTCCTCACATTCCGTTCATTTGGAATTTTACCACACCAACGTTGCCCGTCGCACAGCACACCAGTCTGCATGATCTGATAATCTCAATCTGCATTCATCTTTGATTTTATCTCATTCACACAAACAAGCACGTCAAGCACATCAAGCACCTCACTTATTCTCATTTCCCCGTGTTCCCCAGTCTGATTTTGAAAAAGAGGAGAAAAAAGCAAACAATACCTGCATAGCACACCCGTTCACATAACTCCAGCCAACCGTTTGGCACCGTCAGACCGTTCCATGAATTAATAAAAAAAAACCATTCTCTTTCTGACACTACGATTTGCTAGTGAACAAAGATTGCTGTACATGTGTGCACCGGGATGTGGGAGGTCGTCCACAAGGCCAACAAATCTCCAATCTTCCATTCGTCTAGATCTACGAGCTGGAAATAATCCGTCTCAGACACTTCCTCGGTGGGAAACCTAGCCTGGTAATAATAGCCTTGATGAGCTTCGGGCGATGCAGCTTGCTTAGGAATTGACAAAGGCCTGGCTGCTCGTAGATCTCGAGGAGCCGGCAGTACACTCCGTAACTATTGACAGTGGGCGTAGAATGACCTGTCGAGTGTTGGCGGTCATGCTCCAGCAGGGCGTCAATTGGCAGAGAAGTGAGATCTGGCACCGGGATAGCAGCTACGGTATCCATCGAAGTATGCATCACCTGTCTGGCGACGAACTCCACTACGTGACCAGTCGTGTCGATAATGTCCTGGAGTATCTCCCGGATCGGGGTAAAAAGAGTGACCGTCAAAGCCGCACCGCCAACACGCCCCCAAAGCATGCCATAGACTTCATGAGTCTCTTCATCGACTATCAAACCGCCGCTATCGCCTTCCACTCCGATGCCTCCCTCGATCCAGTCGTGAATCGGCGTCTCGGGTCTTTTGATGACACCCCATTCTTCTGTGACATACGACGACTCGTGATATGCAGCGCTTCTTGTCGTACTAATCTGTCCCAGCTGGTACCCGCTCGTACGGCCACTTGACTTAACAAAAGCACCCGGGACAGGACTGGCACCTTGACACAGCCTCAATTCATCACTGGTAGGTGGCCAACCGCTGAGAAGCTCCGCCTGGTTGGAGAGTGCCGTCTCGTAAGGCTTAAATACTTCGAATAAAGCCCAGTCCATCTCTCTCGATAGCGGACTTTGGGGTACCGTTCGTGCCCTCCGACCGGACATTGCGAGGAACTTTCCGAGACGCACCGAGCGAAGTGGGGAGCAATGCAGACGAACAAAAAGCACCACACTTTCGTAAATTTTGTGCAAAGGAGGGTTTCAGTTTCTTCAAGACACATCATTGCGAATGCGGCAAAAATCGGCTCAGAAGCGTCACTTGAGCATGTTCGAAGCTTCTCGCAATGGGTGCAAGAGTGTTCTGTTAATGATAGCAGAACACGAACTGCATGAACCAGGGAGGGCCGCAACATCTCTCGCCGATCTTGTTCAGAGGTATATGTAAGATATATATTTTCCGGCGAGTCGTGTTCTGCTGGTATCAGATGATCCACTGTCAAAACAGCCATCTGCCCACCGACACGTAGATAGCAGCCGAGGCTTGCTGTATCGCTCACGCTACCACCTATACCGATAGAGTCTCCAGTCCTCGGTGGATTGTGGAAGCTCAGGTTTCTCGGTCCACATACCGGAGGTGATCTTCTAGTGCTCATACAGCGAATAAAGCGACTCTTTTGGATGTCTAGCAGAATGTCCGATGAATGTTTGAAAATCAACAATACGCTCTTGATGCACAGAGTGCTTCGAAGTACTCGGCTGTCGTGAGCACTTAGGGTATCGTTCGTATAGACGATGATAGTTGGCGAGGACATAGTCTCTGTGGAACCAAGCGTAAAAGATGCATGGAATTTATAGGGAGTTTGGTGAGGAGAGAAGCAGCGACTAGATCAGGAAGAGCAGCGTGCCACGCCTGTATAAGACCAGAGTCGGTGGTCTCTCTTAGTAAATACACGGACGGCTCCGTAATGAAATCAGAACTTGACGCCAGGGATGGATTCCTAGAGTTGACTCTAGGCGAGAAAGAGTCTTCCATCAATGGCTGGTCGTGGTACCACATGGATTCTGACAGTGGTTCGTGTGAGCCGCGTTTCCGGTCTGATTTTGTGCTACCACGACTAGCAGCCGCCAGAGCTCTAATATCCTCCTCAAGAATCTCGGCTTGAGAGGGGGCATGCCTTGTATTTCGCAGTCCAGACACCTTGCTCGGCCACAATCGGGACACTCGGTTGAGGTCATGTCAATACCGTCTACTCCTCCACAATTGCAGCAGATCCATCGTCTCTTTGTCGGTCTTCCGGTCGTTGGCGACTTATGAACACTCCAATAAGTGTATCTGCAAAGATGGTGGGAGCCACGAGGTATATAAGTACACGATGAGCTGGCAATTCAAAGGTGTGGGAGCGGAAAGTTGAACCCATTATACAAGTACCCGCGGGATCAGTGCGTCCAGCCATAGAGACCGTCGAAGTGTTCCCATTGGTCTTTCTGATCAATGTAGAGAGCACAACTGCTCTTGACCGGCACAGAAGTCTCGGGTGTCGAATTTTTACGTCCCCAAGAATTTGGGCCGTCACTGGCGAGGCCTGAATCAACGACCATCGTCGGCTACCCTTTCTACTTTGACTCGTCTTCATTCTTGGCTGCGTGCCCTTTACCACCTACCGGGTTCGTGTTCTGTCGTGTAACTAACCAGTGGCTCTATCCCTCTGGTAAAATGTCATCGGCTCTCAGCCCCATTTCTTCGCCAACCCTCCGCACCACGGCTTTTAATGCTGTGCAAGCTGGGCTGTCAGGCCAGGAGTCAAAAAAGCTCTCTCCATAATCGCAAGCCATTCCGATTCGCGGGTCGAGGGGTACAGCTCCGAGGAATGGGATATTCATCTCCTTAGCCAAGGCACCCGCTCCGCCGGTCGTTGCCTGGAAAATCTCGCTCTGGTGGGTGCACTTGGGGCAGACGAACCCCGACATATTCTCCACAATGCCCAAGACCTTGATACCAGCCTTCCGACAGAAATCTATTTCCTTCCGCACGTCAAGCAGTGCAACCTCCTGTGGCGTCGTGACCATGACCGCCCCATCAACCCCGCTCTCCTTCAAGAAAGAGTTTACACTCAAATGCTCGTCGCTCGTTCCCGGCGGCGTGTCGACCAGCAAGAAATCCATATCACCCCACTCCACATCCTTCAGGAACTGCTTTATCAACCCATTCTTCTTCGGACCCCTCCAGATAACCGCATCGTCCTTATTCGGCAACATAAATTGCACACTCATAACCCCCAGATTCTCAAGCACCCACACCGGGCTCCAGCCTCCCCCACTGACATGAATTGTCTCGTCCTCCACACCCATCATCTTGGGTATACTCGGGCCGCAGATGTCCGTATCCATGATTCCCACCGTATTATCCGGATTCGTAGCAAACGCGTGTGCGAGTAGACTTGTGAAGGTGCTCTTTCCTACTCCGCCCTTCCCTGACAAGATCAGCACTTTGTGCTTGATTCCAGATAGTCGCGCTGTAATGACGGGTATGTCGGGATCTGGCCCTTTTGGTGCAGATGCGCATATTGCTTGATTCGGGCAGCCGGCGCAGGAGTCAGCTTTCCCTGCTGCATCAGACTCGGGCCCTGGGCAGTGCTTCACACGAATAAGTCAGCACCATCCTTTTTGCATTTTCGGGGGCAAGTTTCGGGGGGGGGGTGGGGGGG